CACACACACACACACACACACACACACACACACACACACACACACACACACACACATACATACACACAAATACAGACCATCTGGGTAAGTTCAAATATCTGGCATTGCTGTTTAATCACAGATGTCTTGATTTTGAATAGCCGCAGGCCGGCTTATGGACAACAGATAGGCACATAAATACTGACTTTTATGATTTGAAATGGATAGATTTGTGAAAGTTTGACTTTTTTATTGCATTTGCTCATGCGTTTTAAGAGTGGTTAGTTGTGTCAAGAAACAAATATTACGATTGGAGAAAGAGTTGTGAGTTTAACAGTGTGGGAGTTTAAGGAAAACTGTGTCTGCCTTTGCTTGAAGAACACATCATTAACGTCAAACCTAAATACCACCTGTGAGTTATAAGCATACGATGCACACACACACACACAGTCGTGAGTAAAAAAAAAAGTGAAGGCAAAGCGTGACACAATTTTTAAAATTTATTGTAAAATTCTGCTCGTCTTATCAGTTCCACCAATGGGGGGTCAGGGCAGGACTGTGGGAGGTATGCTTTTGAAGAAGACTCACATGCACATGTATTCTGAACACACACACTCACAATCTGTCCCTCCAATACAGCTGTGTTGTTTCAAGCTCCACAACAGCAACAGCACCACCCAATGAATCATTGTTAACGCTAAATGAAAGGAGGAGAATCGACATTTTTACACCTTAAAGACGAGCACAAACACTTTTCCGCAGCGGCGCAAACTCTCATTGTGCATCCAATGAGCTCTCTGTAGGAGAAGATGACCTCTGAACCTCCTCCACGCTGTGGTTGAGACTCACCACACCTAACTCAACATGGTTCCCATTTCAGGGCTCATTACACACCTTGAATACAAATCATGCGTGAAAATGTGTGCGTATGAGCGAGGTACGAGTTAGCAGCCAGTATTCATGTGGCTTTGTGCCAATTTCTACTGATTTTTTGTTTCAGCAAACAGAAAAATAAAATTTATTGTATCCTGAATGCCTTTTGTAAAGTTTTATTAGGTATACTAAGTATACGTATTAACTGTGTGTACATATGCAAAATTCTTTGATCAGATTAAAATGTATCTGGATTAAATAATTCCAATATATGGTTTAAATGGGCACAAACTTAATTAATCTGATCATGATGAGCATTTGCATGCACCAGACTTTTATTTATTTCCTTTACATCCATGTAAACATGGCTAACAAAATACTATCTTTTTTTCCCCAAAATACAATTATTTGACAGGAAGTTTGGGTCATGGCTGAAAGCAGTTAAGATTGGCATAAATTCTTATTTTTTATTGCATTTGTTCCCATTTTTTACAACAAAAAGATAAAAAAACTTTGATTGATGGCAACAATCATAAGCATAGTTATTCATAAAATATTAATTATGAAATGGAGTTGAATAAATAACAGTTTACTTTGTGCTCCATATAATTTTGCAGTAAAATATGATAATTAAACACTAAATCAGTAAGAGCTGCAGATGACGTTTTTCTTTATAGAGTTTTTTTCACTTTTGATTAAATATTCCCAGTGGTGCGCAGCGCTAACCCAAAAATTTGTTCCGCAATTTCTAAAGTGCTTATGAAAATATATAGGTCCTCAACTTCAAAAATGCTTATGCCATAGAAAAACCAGCGGAAGCTAATTTTTAAGCGCAAGCTCAATTTGACACTTTATAGCTGGCAATGATTCATGTACAATATATGTACAACACTGCCAACTAGTAGTGTATGAACTCTTTTACAACTTAATTCTACAACCTCCGATTGCTGGGGATGTGATTTCCTAAAACAGAACTTTGGCTCCTAGTCTAAAAGTTAAAATAGTTGTTGAGGATTGCTAGTTCGGCTGATTCTTTAAAAAGTTGTTGAGAATTGCTAGTTCGGCTGATTCTTTAAAAAGTTGTTAAGGATTGCTAGTTTTGCTGCTTCTTTGTCTTTTTCTTTTGTTTGTTATAGATTTTTCATTAAAGAAGCATCAATAAAGCAATTTCAAAACTGTTTATTGGAAAACTGAAGTGATGCATTCTGGATACATGACGGATTTGATTTGTGACAGGAAATGAAAGTTTTCCATGTAGTTGCTCCAGTTGATCACTAGGTGTCTGTCTAACCCAGCTGTCGGATTGCTTTGACCAATTACGCCAAGTATTGAGCTCCAGCATTTAAACTTTATTTTTTTTAAAAAGGAGCTCTGATTGTAAAGTGAAATAAATCAATACATACAAAATTTTAGTATGGATTACAAACGTTTACTGTTTTTGCTGGGACAGGGAGTTCTAAACACTGTCTTCCTGCTACGTAAGCAGACACAAAGCATTGTGGGAAATGAGAACCCTAACCGAAAGCAACAGTCAGTAAGGATGTATACGTTTCCTATAAGTGTGTTTATCTGGAAGGGGTGCAGTTGGATAGATCATGTGCGTTGTGATTCATTGACAGCTGTACCTTCCACTGTTCAAGATAATGATGATGACTGGTAAATAATTAGTTATTAGCGGTACTGCATTTTAATTTTATAAAGCGCAAATCCGCTTAAGAATTATAAAAAAATAGTAATACCACTAAAGTGCAAACGAAATATTTAGGTCCGCAATTAGCAGATTTGCGTTTTAGCAAACTGGTGCCCACCTCTGAATATTTCAATATCTCCTTTACCACTGCAGTTGTAAATCTTGGATTTTTAGGGATTTTATAAAAAATGTTGGTGGTTTCCCAAACTGAAATTATAAGCTCTTGTTGTGCTGCATCTCTAATGTGTTTCTTTCCATCTCTCAGGTCAAACTGGACGATCGTGTTGTCCACACAAACCGCGGACTACTGATTCGTTCCCTTCACGCCTCTGATGTCGGCGTGTACGTCTGCGTAGCCCAGGAGCACTCACACTTCTCGTACACGCTCCTCCGTCTCAAGCTCCAGCTTGTTGCACGTGGACAGCTGGACCGAAAGCACAAGGTCGGCGAGGATGCCGCGGCGGAGGCGCAGCACGCGGCAGAGACACGCCAGCGTTACAAAGACTACCTGAGAGCAATGAGCTCCCCCTCGCTGGAAGAGTACTGCGACTCGCTGTGGCTGGACAAGAGGTCGTCAAGGCCACGAGGGCGAGCTCCGGGAGCGGGCAAGTGGAAATACATTCAGGAGATGAAGAAGAGCAGAAACAGGAGGCATCACAAAGAACCAGAGGCAGAGGGAGAAAGGAAGAGTCAGAGGCGGGCAGTGAGGACAGGAGAGATTTGATGGGTGTGGGGGAGGGGTGGAAAACAATCAGGTTAGCTCAGTTAATGAACAGGTTAACTGTGAAACAACAGTCTCAAATGTGCAAATAAACTCTTTGATTGGTCACCAACGAAATATGTTTTAGCAGGTAAGAGAATGTAGAATTAAAATGTGGATAGATCACTGTTTAAATGAAATCTATTTTCTTTTGTGAGAAAATCATACTCTTTTTTTAATAAAAACAACAAAACAAAACAAAAACAAGATTTTTGCAAACAATGCAATTACACAGCTGGTAAAACGCACAACCATTTGTTGAATCTATGACTGACGTGTGAATAATTGCAACATGACTAGCTTTTTCAGTGACTTTGAATCCAGTATATTTTTCAGCAAGTTAAACCCTTCAGATGATGCTGATAGTTTGTTATAATAAAACAAATTGATAGAAGTGTTAAAAGGAGAAAATGTGGAAATAAACCAAAAGTTTGCTCATAGTGATGAGTTTGCCTTTATGTCGAGTAATTGTAAATATTTATGTAACGTGTACAGAAGATACAGCATGCTCATTTTGTCTCATTAGCAATTTGTATGTTTAAAACAATACTAATACGTTTGACTTTTATACAACCCTTCATTCTTGTTTATCATAGATTGAATAGATATTTTCATTTATTATTGTTCTTGGAATTTATTAAATAATTTGTCTCAAACTGTTTTACATTCATTTTTTTGCTTAGATTCTGTGCAAAGATAAAACCAACTGTGGCACAATCACGGATGCAGTTTCAGGCATTTTTAACCGCAATTTGCTGCACGAGTTAAACATTTTGAATTGCAGTGGATCAAAACAAACTGGTCTGTTTGATGCAAGTGTGTGTATATAACATATGCATCTGCAGCAGAAATCATGCAATTAAAAAACATCTTCATAAAAACAAATAAGATGATGCTTTTAACTTAATAAAAGATGAGAAGGCATCTTTGTCAGCAGACAAACACAGCATTATGCAACCAAATGTTGACCTTATGTTTGAATATTATATACTGCATATGTATATATAATATACATTTTATTTAATCATTTTTTTCAGTAAATCACTAACAATCTCTGGAGTTGTCTAGAATTACTAGTTGAATAAACCTTTAAAGAAGATTGTGTACATGACATATTCAAAAATAAGCCACAAATAACCTTTTAGTTCTCCATAACTAAATGTTTACATTAAATTTATGATGGCTAGAAAATAGTAAATAAAAAATCTAGAACAAACAATAAAATGACATAAATCTGTCACATTTTTATCAGAAATGCGATGACTAAATGCAAATATGTACCATTCAGGTTATTTTATGTGTCTCATAAATTTCATGCTTGTTGTAACAAAGCAAATAAATATTTTAGGTGTTTTTTTCTTCTTTACTGTTTATTTAATAATCAGAATCAAAGAAGAGCTGAAGACAAGTTAAAAGCATCTTCTTAATGCACATATACAATAATTATTTCCTCCTTGTTATATAACAAAGGTTAAGATCCATCCATCCATATTATAGGATTTTGTTTTTGACATCAGAACATCATTAATTTTAGTTCCAAATTGGACAATGACAAATTATTAAAAAAAGAACAAGAATTGTATTATTGTGTTATTTCACTATTTTATGGGATAAGTGTTAAGAGACGACACATAGTATTTCCTGCATGAATGTTAAATAAAGATATCAAAGCTCATGACAGCAAGGTCAGAGCAGGAAAGGAGAAATGAGATGTCAGACCAAAGTTGTCTTTCTCCGTTTGTATTAGAGGGTATTAACAGCTGTGCAGATGTGTGCTGTCAGACATTTGCAGTGAACCTCTGGGCCAGACAACCCAAGTGTTGTATCAGAGCAGTTGGGTTGGGCAGTATTATTAGCTGCCTGGGGGTTTTGGAAGTCAGCAGATGTGTCTACACGAGCTGGAAACAGTTGTTCCTCCAGAGTAATGACTACCTGCAGCTCCTTCTGCCTAATTTATGGACATACGTGATCTCTCATCACTCCAGGATTTGTTACAGGATATGGTGATGATCGTCCACAAACCACTCTAATAGATGGTTTCATTTGTGGTGTGACGAGCTGCTTTGGAAATCCAGATGATTTAGATACAGCGGGTAAAATAAGTATTGAACACGTCACCATTTTTTCTCAGTAAATATATTACTAGAGGTGCTAATGACATGAAATTTTCACCAGATGTCGGTAACAACCCAAGTGATCCATACATACAAAGAAATCAAACCATAAATGTCCAGAAATGAAGTTATTTGTAATAATGTATATTCATGTCCTGCCACTTTAACTTACTGGAGTTCTTTTAATGCAACAGAATTTGGATGCAGGTGTAATGATCACTGCTCAACTGGATATTGAGTTCCGACTGGTTTTGTTAGTGTTGATCAGATTGTTTTGACCAGGTTGGTGTTTTAGTCTGTAAAGGTCAGAGGTCAAAAAATAGATGTGTGTAGTAACGTAGTATGTGCACTTTGTTGTAGCACTTATAAGTAATTTTTTTGGGATATTTATTTTTACCTGTAATTTTGAATCACAACTTTTACTTTTATTTTGTTGCATTCAAAACATAAAAAATGATACTTTTACTTTATTTTAAAATGTAACACCTCATTTCAAGCTGCACGTTTAAACATGACCGGAACTCATCATGGCAGGAGTTGTTTAAATATAAAGCAGTTTGGATGTAATTTGCTCAATTTGCTCAACTCGGTTTAGTGGAACCAGCTGACACAACTTGCTTAAGTAAATTGGCTCTGTCACGTTTATTCATTCTTTAGTAATGCAGAAGAAAACTCACTAAATACAACATGCAGCAAGTGAGTTTTAATCACACAAACCTTTAGAGATATTCTCAGAAAGCTTTAAATGTTTGATGACCCATACAAAACATCTGTTTCTGACATTTTGCACATAAACTATGAATCAGTACATTTTTCATTTCTAAATATTTGGCAGGGTTCAACCTGATCATATTTTTAGAATTCTCTGCAAAAATGCATGAAAAAACCCAAAACAGGAGAATTATGGAATTTTCGGGAAGCATCAATGTAAACATAAAGATGGATCACACAGGATTTGAAGATAATTCATGAAATAAAAGTAGATCAATCGCTCCTTTGTTTTACAGACTGTTATTTTTCACAATTAAATTGTACAAACACATTTTTTGAAGGAACAATTAGAGTAGAATGTGAAAAAAGTAAGAATGTCTTATTAGCAAATCCAGGTAAATAAACTAAACTATTTGCTTTTAGATATTCTTAGAACTGCAAACTGAACTCTCTGGTGTTGAACTGATATGTGCACGCATGATGCACAAAACAGCATTTCTTTAAGCAGTAATAATACTTACATTTTCCTATACCCAGTTGGTCACAATAAAATAGTTCTGGAAAAATAGTTTTAGTTATATGGACTAGGTTATTCTGCTGGGAAACAGGTTTGATGCAGTGTTACTGCCATAAAAAGAGGCACAAGTATTCCGTTTCCCTCTGTTTCGCTAAAAAAAAAAGTCTGGTTTATATAAACCGCTGCCAAATACCTTTCAGATGAACTTTGAACTTTGTTTTAAAATCCTCTTGGCTTTTTCTCCTTTCTCGCTCTCTCTCAATTTTCCTCTTTCCATAGATACATTGGTCTTTTCTACGTGTCCGAACATCACGATCTGGACAGCTTAAAAGTACCATTTGCTGTGCCTTTTTGCCAGGATGACCCAATGAGTGCTGGGAGAAAGTGAAGCAGTAAATGAAAAGAAAGATGAGATGAGGGGAGAGTGTTGTTGTATTTTGTTAGTGGCCCAAGTGGCTGTCCTGTGTCTCATGTGCATTGTGGAAACCTGAAACCACGAGGGAGGATATTGTGCCAGGAAGGTTAATGAGCTCAGTAAATATGGAAATCTTCCAGAACAGTTTGATCCAGTGAGGATTTCCAGCTATTTTCCATTCCCGGGTGTAGAGAAAGTATTCAAATTTCATGATGATTTTTTTCTTTCTTTCTTTCTTTCTTTTTTTTAGATCAGCTCACGTGCTTTTCACCTTATTTTCTTGAGGTAAAGGTTGCAAACAGCTGAGAGACTTGCCTTCAAGATGGCCTGTTTTTGTTTCAGGGTATGAAAACAGTGGCAAAAGAATGACAACATTTTTCATAAAAAAATACACACACACAAAAGAAAAAAATGAAGGTTTTATTTGATTAGACATTACAATTTTTCAGTTTAGTTATTCTAACGTAAAACATTTGAATGCCTTTAATAATTGAAATTTCTACAAAGTCAACATACATTGTTGAAACTCAGAAGTTTTATGGCTTAATTTCCCTAAAGGGCTACATATTACACATTGCCTTCCAAAGTAGAAAATCATTTTATGTTGAGAAACGATAGTTTCTGTTTACCCCTTGAAAAAAACTGTCGTGCTTGATCAGCTATCTTTCAAACTGTTTGTTGGAAATTACTCTCAACTACTGCTTCATCAAGGTTTCGCCGAGGAGCTGTAAAACTGACCATGTTGTAGCCATTTATGTGTTTGCTGAGACTGATGAATTGTGGCGTCAATCTTCAATTGGGTTGACTCTAGAACAAGGGCATTAAATGACTCAGGAGGCCGGGTGGGGTGTGTGTGTGTGTGTGTGTGTGGGGGGGGGGGGGGGGTGCTGCCAGCTGAGCTGATAGTTGGTGAAACACTGCAGTATGTAAGAGAGCAAGTATTATTTTTTCCTTTTAAATTAGTTTTATTTTGTTGCATTGAATCATAAATTTTAAATTTGCAATAAAATTAAAACCAATTAAGTACAAACTAAATAAATATTTTGGGGGTTGGTGCAGGGTTTCATTGATGGGCCAGAGAGAAGTCACTGGCTCGCGGACTGCCTGCTGAATAGCGCTGCTCCAGAACTTAATAGGTAGTTGTTGACGTGCATCTAATGATTCTATTCTTGAGAGTTATAAGCACCAGTTTACAGGATATTTTTGCAAACATGCATGATAAATGAACACATAGAGGCAAAAACATGATAATCTGCCTTTTGGTGATGGGCAAAATATACAGCTGGTCCTTTTGAATCCTTTGAAACACAACATGAAAAAGGACTTAAGCCCATTTTCCTTCTGTTAAAATCGAAACAAGTTCATAAAACCTTTATACAGTTTTGAACAACAGACAAATTGCTTTAATGAGATGCTATTTATTGTCTTTGTATAGGATTTTAGCTGCTACACATTTAAGAACTTTTTTGTGTATTTTGTTTCATAATGCAGCTAATCTCGTTGACTGACAGGTCTAGACAGCGGACAGGCTCTTCTGGCAGCGGTTTGTTTTGCTCTGAAGCCGTGCTGAAGGGTTTAACGGATTATTCCATAAACTCTATACATTATTCCATTGTTTTTGGAATTGCATTGGCTTTTTCTTAGCAACATTACTCTCCATAGCCCNGATGTAAATATTCACACTTTCATAAATCACAAATGCACAAATATATATCTTTCCCAACAGTGTTTAACAACATGTGAGAAACATTAAATGGGAGAAGCTGCTCCCTGCTGATGACACATTTGTCTGTTTTCATTTTTGAAAACATGACTGAGAGGATTTCTGTAGAATCACAGTGTACTTCATGTGATCTGCAGACAGCAATTGTGAATCATAAAACATAATTTCCCTTCTCT